GTAAGATGTGTTTCTATTTATACTCAAGTTTAGGATATTAATTCTCTGGTAACTGCTTAGTCATTTGCTACAAAGGACCACGTAGCACTTTAAAAATGTAAACGTATGATTTACTTGGCATCAATTTTACCCTCTAATTTCTTATCCTTACACCTGGATACCTTCTTACTTATCCAAGATTCCAAAATACCTTCTTTATTTATCATTTATGTATACCTATATATATGTGTATTAATAATAATTAAATCACTACCTGCTTCATATATTCATGCATTTCGTCCTATAATATAATTTATGTGATACACATTTATTATTGTTTAAAGTTAACAAAATTTCCTTAATAATAATATATATATGTGCACCTTTATTATATAATAACTACGTACTTGATCAAACTAATAAATTAATAACTTATAAAATATTTAATATATATATATATATATATATATATATATATATATATATATATATATATATGGCAAGGTTATTTTGTTTCTTACATTTATTGTGTGCTACAATGCACCAATAGGAATTTAGTAAATTAAATAATTATTTAATTAAATAAATATAGATATTAAATGATTTTCATAATTATATGTATATTAAATGATATCCATAATTATAATTCTCTTTTTATGGAAACTAATTAAATCTGTCATTAATGTCAGCAATAACATTCTTTCAGAATAAATTCACATCTATGTTTTTATATATGAGTTCGTATTTTGTTTCAGGACTCACTCACTTAAAATACAATAAAGTTGCATTGAATATGAAGAACGAGAGTGTATTCTACTAGAATACATTCTCATTCTGCCGGAATACACTTTCATTCTTCTAGATATGAATTCATTTTGAAAGAATATTATTGTTGACATTAATGACGAATTTAATTAATTTCCATAAAAATGAGTTATAAGTATGGATACCATTTAATATACATATAATTAATAATAAATTGCTATTGGTGCATTCTAGCACACAATAGATGTGAGAAACATTTGGTTCATTCTGAAAGAATATTATTGTTGACATTAATAACAAATTTAATTAGTTTCCATAAAAATGAGTTATAAGTGTGGATAGCATTTAATATACATATAATTAATACTAAATCGCTATTGGTTCATTCTAGCACACAATAGATGTGAGAAACATTTGAACCTACCTCCATATATATATATATATATATAATATATATATATTAATATATATATATATATATATATATATATATATATATATATATATATATCGTTATTATAACCGAAAACGAAAATTTACCAAATATATAATAGGTGCCATTTTAAGACGTATTTGGAATTAAATAATCGATAACCAATCTTGTATAATATACATGGTTAGAAATTTTGTGCGGCTAAATTTTTAACTATTTTGATAATTCGATTTATATTTCTTATATTTTCAATATAAAATGTTGTATTTTAAAAATTGCCAAATATTACAAATAAAGCCTATTACATTTGATGTTCGTCAGATTGCGAGTGACAACCGTTGACTTAATTTGACTGTTGTCACAATGTTCAAGTCCTATAAATTATAACCAGAGTCTCCCGGATGGAGAGCGTGAGATTTGTGTATAGATTTATACGGGACTGACAATCCCACATCCAAACTGCTAGCTACAGTTAGGCAGGCATGCCTGGGGTGTGACAAATGTCATTAATATCGACGCCTGAAGAACGTCGTAGAGGCCACTAGGTCATATTAGTATGGTTATATGAAACTCACAACAGTATAACTAAAACATTTTTTTACGGGATTAACACTACTTCAATGGTTTTATTTTCATTAATAAAACTATGGTATACTACTTTACACTACAGCTAGTAATAACCAGGCATTCATACATGGTTTTCGTGCAAACACTAACACAGTACACTACTTTCGCTACTACTGGTGGTATCCAGATATACATACAAAGGTTTTCATACAATATCAGATACAATGCGTTGTTTTCTAACATAGAGTACACTAATACAGTATACAAATACAAGGAACATACATGATTATACTACTTTCACTATAGAAAATATTGGATTTTTTTGAGAAACACACTAGTATTTTTAAAGTTCAAAGACAAGTTTTCCAGCACTAAAACATACTTATGAACTCATCAACTTAAATGTTGATACACTTTCAAAATCACTTGTATTCTCAGGGAACCGATCAGACAAGTACACCCGCAGAATTTTGAGAAGACGGAGTATTCTAGAGCAACATCTTTTATACTTTTGTTACACATTTTGATGTCATACAAACTATGTTATGAACAGATGTAAATACAATATTCTATTAATGTAATGGTTGTGTTTGCTTGATTTACTATTATGCAATTGATGTGATACTGTACATGACGTCCTCCGCCCCCGAGCATTTCGGTCGTTCCGGTTTGGGGGTGTGACAAATACCACCACTAGATGCTAGTCTTAACTTGCATTTATGTTGTTCTTAAACCTTAAGAGTTCATACCAAATGGACCTTAAAGAGAAGCAACATATAAAACCTTAAATCAAGCACCAAATGCATGACAAAGATGAGAGAAAAATACCATCGTGCTCATGGCTTTTTGCAAGAAAAAGAAGAGAGATACGAGTAAGAAAAAAAAGTAGCTCTAGTTTTGATCCTTACACTCCATTATATTCCAAGAGACATGTCCCAAACAACCATGCCTTCTTACATGTCAAAGTATGGTCTCTAAGGAAAATAATGGATGTAAGAAGCAAGACTACACACAATCTCCTAACTCCATTAGGAGTTCACGGAAATACACCATCCAAGTGGGGTTAAGATGTGCATTTTACTCAAACCTCTAAATAGTAGTTGTGATGTAACTAAATGGTTATTCTAAGTGCCCAAATTGTTGTGCACAATATTAATAATCATACCATATGATAATTATTAGTTTTTATTCTTTTTATTATTATTTCTTAGAAACAATAACTCCCAATATGATGGTAAAATATTATTTTCATAAAATAATGTTTTGTCAATTAAATACAAGTGTTGTATTTATTAATAATCAAAATTACTCTAATAAATAATCAGTTAGTAGTAACTTTTATAAGTTGTGACCCTATATGATCATATGTCATTAGCAATATCACTCTATAATGACTTTTGGGCATAAAGATCTTTCATAAAACTCTCCAGAATCCACATTTAAAAGAATCATGTATCAATATATTAGCAAACAGAAAACATTATTAGAAAAACCAATCATGTATTTTACCTTAAAAAAGTATAAAACCCGCTTAGGTTGTACATTGATTTTTGAGGGTTTGTTTTTTTCTTTGTTAGGATGAATTAGAGTTTGAAGCTTTTTAAATACCGTCTTTAGCTGAACGTACAAATTATTCCAAATTATCCTGTCTCACAGATATCTACGACACCAAAAAAATACACAATTAATTCCGTAAAAAACATTACTAGCGATATTAATAAATTAACGACATGATACGTGTTAAAATCAATAAAGTTAGATACCAAACTCAAATACTCCTCTTTCATTGGCTTACGGGCCAAATGGCCATTGAGCCCCTTCTCCAACAAATATAATAGATACATTCGGACTGCATCATCGCCCGATAACTCAAGAAGAAATGTTTCAAATATATTTATAATATGTTCTAATTTTGCCGACTCAGTTGGTTTGACCGTATGATACACATGCCATCAGAAGTTGTCATCGGAATCCGCGAGATGGAAGAAATCCTTCTTCCCAAACATCAACTCATACTCCTCAATCTAAAAAAAATCTTTTTTGTATTTGGTTTTCAGGGTGTGTCAAAACTTCTTTAAAGAATACGTAATGTAAAAGAAAATGAACCATTCTGCCTCGACAAAAATATCTAACCACCTATCAAAACACGTCATTCGAAACATAACCTCGCATGGTGGTCGGTTCGTGAATTTTGCAAAAATATTCGCAACAATGTCAGGTTTGCAAGACATTATAAGAGAACCATAAAAAAATGTTGATATGCTGCAAAAAAAATGACTTTGCAGATGATTTCGCACTATAAATGGTGCTTCGAAATGCACTGTTCTACAAATTTCGAACTAGTTTGTCGTATTCCGGAATCCTGAATAAAAAAACCAATATGGAACATAAAGCACATGTTATTATCAACGTATTTCTCTATTACTTTTGATCCTTAGTCATACTAAAAAACTACATAGTTAAGACACATTCTTCCGGACTAGATAGTATTTTACAAAAAGAAAAATAAAGGTAGTTACTTCTTGAAAAAACTAATACAAAAATGATTAAATTGTTTAATTTCTTTTAGACTTTTACTATATTATTACCTGATCTATTTAAAATAATAATAATGTTTTATATCAATTTATTACGCAATGCAACGGGCATTCGTGTAGTTATGTTATGGACTCCTATTATGTTTTTTTTATTAGCCCCATATCTCTTCATAGTGTAATACGTACATGTCCAACACTTCCCGCCAGCGTCTACGACCAAACGATAAAAAAGCAACACGTAAATATTTCCTGAAATGGACACTCACCCTTCCTTCCCATTTGTCGATCGTAATCATCAAACCCTAACCCTAAGCCCCCACTTCTCTTTCTAATTCTTCTCCCTCTTCCTTCTTGACTTTTATGGTTTCTGGCGCTGCGGATGATTTCAATATTAGGTTTCACCAAAATGGATTTATGAATCTCCAAGTAAGTACAATCTATCGAGATTTTTTTTTATCTTCGATTTATTTAAATTTTTTAATTTTTGTTTCTGAAAAACCATTCGTGATTCTCATGATTCATAAAACTTTTTGGCGTTTAAACATTTTTTTTTATCAATTTGTGATGTGCAGAGAAGATCTTTCATGAAAATTGCAATCATAAAAACTATTACAAACTATCACGAAACAAAAAATTTCGTACCTTTATATGAATTTGGATCGAATATTTGTTTTTTGACATGGAATCAACGATATAGAGGCTTTGTTAAATAATCAAGAATGGAAGAAAATAAGGAGAGTAGTAGTATTAAGCATCAAATTTTGAATCTGGAAGGTGGTAGTAGTAACATTGACAACCAAAATAAGCATACTGTGGCTATTAACGAAGCTGAGGACCCACTTGATCATAACAAGATCTCCGGCGAAACTCAGAATCCACTTATTCATAACAGTATCTCCGGCGAAGCTGAGGATCCACTTGATCATAACAAGATCTCCAGCGAAAATGATAATCCACCCATTTATAACAAAATCTCCGGCGAAACTGAGAATCCACTTATTCATAACATTATCTCTGGCGAAACAGAAAATCTACCTGTTCATAACGAACTCTCCGGCGAAGCTGAGGATCCACTTGATCATAATAAGATCTCCGGCAAAACTGAGAATCCACTTGTTCATAACAACATCTCTGGCCAAGCTGAGAATCCACTTATTCATAGCATGTCAAGTAAGGATGAGAATCTACCTATTCTTAACAAGCTCTCCAGCAAAGCTGAGGATCCACTTATTGATAACAAGAACTCCGGCGATGCTTCTCCCACCTCCTTCTCATCTTCTTCAAATCTGTTGGAACTAGATTACGATGAAAATGCATTTGATATTTCCTTCTCTATTTCTGAAGAAGATGAAGATGCTACTAACACCCGGCAATGGAGCATGGTGAGTGCATCCCCAACAGCTGTCCAAGAGCTTCCTTTATCGCCGGAAAATGCATCTCCAAAGCAATCTCCGGTGGTACAAGTGATGGAGCGAACCAACAGCTATGATCCAAACAGGATTCCATCATCGACATTTAGTCGAAAACTCACAGATACTACGGAATGGAGTGTTGATTCCAGTGATTCTTTATTTAGTCTTCATTTGGGGAAATCTGGAGAACTTAACAGGGCTGATTCATCATTTCGTCTCCCTACAGTGATAGAAACAACATCAGAAATCGATCAAAAGAGTACAATAGGTGAAATCCAAAACCAAAACGACGTGCCAATTGTTTCTGCAAATGGGAATGGAGTGAATCCTTCTGAGACGCCTTGTGATTCTATAACAACCCTACAAGAACAACAACCACCGCCACCACCAGTACCGGAGGGAAACGTGGAGGAAAACGTGGCGGCAGAAACCAAGTCAGACGACCGTGTTACACTCCCAAAAGGTCGTTGCAGATGCTTCAATTGCTTCTCTTGTTGTACATTCTGTGGTTGATGGGACACCGAACACAACATTAATCATCAAGAACACACCCCAAGATTCAACAGGCTCGCCATCAATCCAAGAATCGGTTTCTGATCATGATAAGAAACTTAGGTACGTAGCTTTGAAACTGATCATTTTACTTCAGTTCTGGGATAATCTGGTTTGATCTGATTGAGAAAGTGTAAAAAGTTCCTAATGTTCCTTGTTTAAATTGATTTATCTTGTATTCAATAGTTGATTAATTAAGGCAATTCAAATTTATTGTTATTTTAATGATTTTAGTACATTAAGATAACCACATTTGCAAGTTTACTTTTCGCGAGGTTGAAAAATCTCAAAATTTTGTATGATGAATGTCTTTAAAATGTAAACATATAATATAAGGTGTAGCAAAAATGGCCAAGGTTTATGGTTTTTCACATCTTAGGTTGTGGGTTAACAAAAATGGAAGGCTATTTTTTTTTCTACTCTTGAACTAGAGGTGCACAAAAATTCAGGTTAAAAAAAACGGAAATCCAGAAAATGGGTCATACACGAGTTTGACAGGATGATAGTTGGAATTGGTTTGAGAAAAACTGATTGTGGTCATTCGCAATATTCTGTTGTCGAGGAGCTTTGGTCAAACAACTTATCGGTTGTCCAAGTTGTACCGACAAACCGACACAACATTTCAACTTGTGTGGAATATCAAAATGCAGTAGAAAGCACGATAAGCAAAAGATGTGGTAAATTCTTTAACAAAAAATAGAAATACCAAATTCAAAACCCATGCAAATACATCATGCAATGCGATAAAATATGGTACACTGAATTAAAAAACAATGACCAATCAAGGCACCATTTGGACCTACTAAGAGAGATTGGTTCAGAGAATAGAGAATGATCAACAAACTTTGTGATTCAATAAAATTTGTCATTTGACAACTTTAACAACCTTTGATCCACAAAGATCATCCAAGATGCCCTTCAACATCCCTCTTGTCATTAAGTCGTTTTACCCCTCAGACGAGATAAAACTAGTATGTTGAATGTGGCTATATTGAAATTATTGAAGGTTTTAGAACATTCGAATATAGAGTAAGTTTAACATGCGAAATTTGGAAATCTCCACACGGTTCGCCAACTTGTACCTTGCCATTATTGATCATTGCCTAAATCCTTAAAATTGGCAAATAATAAAATGCAACTACATTGAATTGTTTGAATGTCGGCTCTTAAATTACAAAATAATGTTTTTTGTATTTATTTTCATAATGCATCAAATCATATCATGTCGTTGGACAATTAAAAGTAAAGTTTAAACTTGTTTGTAATGATGATTTTTCCATATCTGTTGCATGCATCTTAGCTTGGTCGTGCATGATACACTTGAATTTGTAAGAACATGTTAAAACGCGTTTTAAGGTAATGTTATGTGATATATTTAATAGTTGCAACATTAGATGTCATATGTATATACTATTTATAACTACAAGGAATTTGTATTCTTCTTATTCAATCAAGGAGCGTACGGCTCAATTTATACAAAAGAGAAGGAACAGAAAATACAAGGAATAAGGAAATAAAAAAGGGCATGTTGGTATGCACGTGTGAGACCAAGTCTTGGGCTGAGCTCTTTTACTTGGTCCATATTTTTTTTGCGTATTACCCCCCAGCAAGCTCAAGGGCAGGTCGGACATGAAGCTTGGAGCAAAGATGAGCAACACGTGCTTTTCCGAGTGGTTTTGTAAAGATATTTGCAAGCTGGTCCGGAGAAGAGACCAGGCTGACTTTGAGAAAACCATATTCAACTTGTTCACGCACAAAATGAAAATCCAAGCCTATATGTTTTGAACGAGTGATGATGATCGGGTTCTTGGTTAAGAAGATAGCACCTGCATTGTCACACAATAAGAGAGGAGGATCGGTGATGGCAGAACGCAAGTCAGAAGTTAGTTGTTTAAGCCACAATAATTTTGCACTTGTATAGGCAAGAGACCGATATTCCGCTTCTGTAATTGAACGAGCAACAACTTTCTGTTTTCATGATGTCCAACTTATGAGATTCGATCCATGAAAAATAGCAAAACCATCTGGTGATCGACTGTCATCCGAGTCGAACATCCACCCCGCATCTGAATAAGCAAGTAAAGAGGAGGAGGTAGTGGGTGAAAAATGAAGGCAGTAAGATAAAGTCCCATTTAGATATCGAAGAATGCCTGTAACGACTTGCCAATGAAGGATTGTGGGGGCGTGCATGTATTGGTAAACCCGATTAACTGCAAAAGAGATGTCGGGTCGAGTGATGGTGGCATATTAGAGATATCCAACTATTTGGCGGTATTTTGTGGGTTCGGTAAAAGAATTACCATAACAATGTAATTTGGTTGCCGGATCAGTGGGGGTAGAAATAGATTTAGATGAGGCCATATCGGCTCGATTTAGGATGGCTTGAATGTATTTAGTTTGAGAGAGTGTAAGGCCGGTGGGAGAGGTCTTGATTTGGAGACCCAAAAATTAATTTAGGATGCCAAGGTCACGTAGAGCAAAAGTGGCATCAAGTTTGTGATAATTTGCAACAACAGAAGCATCATTGCCGGTGATAATGACGGCATCGACGTATAAGAGCATGTAAATGGTGACGGTTGTTGAATGGTGAACAAACAAAGAAGTATCGGATTGGCAAGCGCGAAACCTGTTTGTAACCAAGAACTGTTTGAGCTTAGTGAACCAAGCTCGTGGGGCTTGTTTTAAGCCATATAGAGCTTTGTGTAACCGGCAAACATGATGAGGTTTGGAGGGGTCTTCAAAACCACGGGGTTGAGCCATATAGACTTCTTCCGAAAGATCACCGTTTAAGAAGGCGTTGTTGATGTCAAGTTGGTGTAGGCATCAACCTTTTGAGAGAGAAATGGAGAGAACCAAGCGAATGGTAGTCAGTTTGATAACCGGACTAAAGGTCTCGAAATAGTCAATTCCCTCTTCTTGACTAAATCCTTGAACTACTAGCCGAGCTTTGTATCTGTCAATTGAACCATCGAAATGCCTCTTGATCCTGTAAATCCATTTACAACAAACCAAATTGACATTAGTAGGACGGGTAACAAGAGACCATGTCTTATTTCTCATTAGAGCATCGTATTCTATTTTCATAGCAAGTTCCCAATGGGGTTGTTTGATAGCTTAGGAGAAGGTACGAGTTTTAGTGGTTAGAGAAGGGGAGAGAGAGAGAGACTGAAAACTATTTGGGTTGAAGAGAGTGAGTACGGGCACGAGTAAGCATGGAATGGGTGGATGTAGCAGTAGGTCGAAAATAAGAGGGGGCAGTGGGTTTTGTTTTGGTGGTGGAGTTGATTGTAGGGGTTCGGTAATGAGGGGAGGAGGAGGTAGGAGGTTGTGTGGGTTGTAAGGGCAGATCAGGTGAAGGTGGTGTAGAAGGAGAGGAAGGAACATGAGTAGAGGAAGAGGCAGGGGGAAGGTTTGTGAGGGTGGTGAGATGGGAATGGAAGCAGCGTGAGATAAGAGATGAGGATAAATAGGTGGGTCAGTTATCGGAGGAGATGATAGGGTATTGGGAATGTTTTGTTGGTATGGAAAATTATCTTCGTTAAAGAGAACATGTCGAGCAATATAAATGCGAGAGGTTTGTTTATGGTAACAAATATAGCCCTTGTGAGAAGAGTTGTAGCCTAGAAAAACACAAGGAAGTGAATGAAAATCGAGTTTGTATTGAGTATATGGTCGTAAAAACGGGTAGCAAAGGCAACCAAAAGTTTTTAAAAAAGCATAATCGGGTTCGCGTTTGTAAAGAAGTTGATATGGATATTTGTAAGCAAGGGCAGGAGTAATAGTGCGGTTGTGAAGGAAGGTTGTAGTGTGAAAAGTATGTTCCCAAAATGTTTGAGGTAAGGATGATTGTGCTAGAAGAGCGAGACCTTTTTCGACTATAATACGATTGCGACGTTTAACAACCCTATTTTGTTTGGGAGTGTGTTGGCAAGAGAGGCGATGGGCAATGCCATGTGGGCGGAGGAAGGTGGCGACAATGCGAAATTCTCCACCCAATCACTCTGAAGACATTTGATGTCACAATTAAATTGTGTATGGATCATTTTTCAAAATTGAAGAAATGTAGGTAAAACTCGTGATTTTTTAGAGAGAAAATAAATCCAAACATATTTTGTGCAATCATCTATAAAAAGCAAAAAATTTGTCCATTCATAGATAAAATGGGGGAAGGACCCCAAACATCATAGTACATTAACGCAAATGGTTTATGTGAAACAACATGTGAACTAGATAGATGGAAACAATGACTCTTTCCAAGAGGGCAAGAGTCACACAGCTGGATATTTATTTGAGGTGATCGGATGCTTGAACGAATAAACTAAGCGATGCAATAACGATTCATGTGGATGGGCTAGTCTCTTGTGCCACCCATGGAGGGGGGTGCGTACACCGGTAAGAGCAAGTTTGGGCTGAGTATGGGATAGATAGGGTAGCCAATAGAGACCATCTTTAACATCCCCGCAAAGTAGTGTCTTACCCTGAAAATTCTTAACAAGACAAGAGTGAGGACAAAACTCAAGATAGACTTGGTTGTCATTGGTAAGTCTATAAACACTGAGTAAATGTTTGGCAAGATCAGGGACGATAAGGACATTGGACAACTTAATATGATTTAGAAAACATGATCCAATATGAGAAATTGACATTTTGTTACCATTACCAACTTGATGTTTATCCGAGCCTTGATAGTTTTCTGCAACAGTAAAGCAATTTAGACCCGGAGAGGCATGATAGGTGGCTCCTGAGTCGAAATACCAAGATGAATCAATGAATGTGGAGGGGATGTTGTATGTAGCATAGTTGATCTGTCGTTTGGGAGGGGGCGTCGAGACGGATAAGTAGTTTGGTTTGTACGATGACATCAATCAATTGCTTCATGTCCAGGATTGGAACATAGTTGACATTGAAGCTTGCGCCTAGAATCTTGATGTCGATTATGTGAGGAAGGAGAAGGAGAGGAA